AAGCTCTAGCAGATGTGAACCGAACCACTGAAGTATTTTTCTGCATGATGATTTGTGTCATGTTAACGAAACCGGGGAGGTTTTATTGACGAATAATTTATTGTCAAGCCACATCACCACCTACAGATCCTAAAAATCTCCATAATATCACACAAACCATCCTTTGAGATGATTTACCGTAGTCAAAGAAGATGATGAAGTGTGTGGATTCCGATTACTCCTATTGTTTTACATTGGTCCATCATGTGACAAATAGGTTGGCACACGATCAATTCTCAAGGAATTCAACCAGCTTATCTGAATAGTGCGCGTTTGATTAACTTAAACCCTGATGAACAGGATTCTGTTCGAAATGGTTTCAGGGATTGCGTGTAGAGCGATATCTGTGCAGTTCTCGTACTTGCTGAGATCTCCTCTCTTTGATATCTTCATGAAGTGCCCATATCTCTGATTATATGCAGGTTGTTCGTCCAAACAATGCTTGATGTACTGAGTGCGAATCATGTTCAAGGCTAGTGCGATTTCTGCCACCGATGCCTCAGCTACTATATAACCAGTGCCTACTGCTTACCTTCTTAGGACTTGTCTGACGGCCATGCTAATCATTTCGAATGTTTATTCTGTGACATCTGAACGAAACTCATTTTATGTTTCTTTGATGTTCAGTACGGTTGAGATTTTTAGAAGCTGAACCGATTGCTCGCCGTTCCGTCTTCATAGTGAGGAGTGTTTTCTGCTGGCCGACGTTGCCCCAAATTATTTACGTTGTAGCGACTACAATCACCTATGCCTCCATATGCGTAGTTATAGAACTAGGACTGCTATGTACTTTATATGAAGAGCGAAGTTATTTCCGCTGAGTCTCAGTATGTGAAGTGAAAATCGCACTAATCTTTTTCACTGCGATTCGCGATTGTTCAGTGCTTCTCTAATTTTATTTTGGCCTTAACAGATGAGAAAATAACACCTCTCAGTTGTGAGAAGCTTTGCAGAGTAAAGTACAAAAGTCGCTCTTCCGAATCACAGCATCATAGCTCAAATTTAGGAAATATAATGGATATGCTTTCGTCTTCTCCAGAGGCGTACATTCTTGCAATCATGTGAATTTAATTTTCAATCATTCAACCGGATGATAGTGAGAGGGAAATCAACTGTGACAAAAAACGGAAACTTGTTGAAATGATATATGAATGGCTATTATGATCGTAGCTTAAAGTGTATTCGTTCTTCCGGTTATATTCCCTAAATAAAAAGGCTTCATCTAAAATAATAAATTCAAGGACAACATGAGTTTTACAGTAAAAGATATCGTAAAAATGAGTCATACTGAGTATGAGACACTTTTCGTCAACGTCCTTCGAAATTTCAGAGACTTTGATGGACGTAAGCGAGAGTGAGCGTCAATGGTCCCATGATGCGAGAAGCTAGCGCTCAAGACTTTACTCAACTCTCATTTTAACGATTTTTTAATTATTTTCTTTCGCTCATCGCTACTTACCACTTCTCAATGTTTTTCTATAAGTCTTCAAGAAAAGACATACTCCGCCAAAAACGGTACTGAATGCACATGAAATGTGGTAGGTGTTCAATCCTTCAATCGTCATATGAATATGGTTATAAATAGTCAGTCCGAATCTTGCATTCGTTTGTCGCGCAATATTTTCATATACTGAAATTCAGTTGGGTTCAAAATCTTCTCTTTGTAAACCTTTGTGGTAGTATGAGTTGCTGATACACTAGGATCGATACATGCAAACGGAAGCACAGAAGCTATTAAATATCTCATTCAACAAAAGCAAAATACAAAGAACAGGTTGAAAATGTAGTAGCCAATGAAGTTAAACTGGTAGTATTGAAAAGAGTATTGACAATAATAACAGCAATAAAATAATGATTTTGATTTTATTTTTGCTGTGAACATAATGATTACAGTGCCGTCAAATCAATTATGATTTATTAAGTTGAAGTGTGAATAGTAATGCATTCATTGGAGACAGTCAAACCAGAAAAAAAACTAACTATTGGCAACTATTCATCACGATCATGTTGCGTCTTGTGTATATTCCAAGTTTTTCTAACGTTACGCGAAATGAGATGGTGGTCGATAAATCAAACAAAAGTTCTGAAGATATTTACAAATACACATACACGCGTTCACAAAGCCAAATATCATCACCAATTATTGGAGGTGAGATTAGAATCACCAGAAAAATAGAAGCAGTGTGCACTGATTTACTTAAGATATGAAACCCTCACATATGCTTTGGAAGAAATAATTATATCAAAATTTAGAAGACTGAATAATTCGTAAATTCCTAATTAATAACAACCCTTGATTTTTTCATTTACTACCGTAGATAATTTCATTTGATTCTCTCCTTGTAATCCGCCATGGTAAACGTACCGTCTGTCGTCTAATTCATAATAGTCGAAACGATTTGCGATAAGGTATTGTGTGATGAAAAATATGAAGAATAATCAAAAAACGTAGTGTGAATGAAATGCATATGAGGAAAATTTACATTAGTGGAAAGAGAAAATAGCTTATTATCACGTGAGGCAAGTATAATACGCAATAATACGTGGTGATGATTAGAACTCATATCAATTGAAAATAATGTATATGTTGATCAAAATAGTACTTATGCATTGATCAGCGAATAAAGAGAGTCAAGTGTAGCATTGGTTTTCACAATATTTAGTGCAGATATATGATGTTTCAGTCATGAGTAAGGTCAAAGATAGACGATGAACATATCAGTTTTGGGTATGTGAATTGTATCTTCTGGACTTGATCCGTGTAGCATCAGCTATGTGAAGGTGATTTAATATTGTTCCTCTTAGGAGACTGCTCGGAATATTATAAATACGAAGTAAATATTTTCTATTTAAAATCGATGAGCACTATCTTTCATGAGTGAAATGATAGCGCAGTTAATAAATGTTGAGATACATATTCCTAACTATATTGCTGCATGTTGACTGGAGCAGGTAGTGTTGAACTGATCTTCAGTCACGAAGAACTCTATAATCAGTAGCCTAAAGTTGATAAATTATGTTGTTATTGGTTTACTTTATCCGACTACTTGTAAAATGTCATACAAAAAGTACTATTCAGTTGAAATGTTAAAATTTTATTCATGACAATCCGGTTTACATCGCGATGTACATAATATTTCTTTGCCTAAAGTTTCGGGGTTTCTTCTACCTCTTTGTTATGAAAGAACTTTATGGACGAACAAAATTTACTTAGTCTTCCAGGTAATCGAGACTGTCACCTGATTGCGAGACTAAGTTTGAAAAAGTACTAAAACTCGAATTGAAACATTCAGCTGATGTTCAATGCAAAGGAACATTTTCCACAGTCAGGCACGAGAAATCGAATCTGAGATTGTTGAATGAAATTCAATACTACCAAAAATACGTAGTTGTATTGTATGTTGTTTGACGAAACGTGTAATGCTGAGAAATATTTGCAGTGTGCAGAATTACAGTTCAATGAATTGGCATATAATTGCATGCCCAACAGTTTGTGGTAGGCTTGATCCTTCTTAATAAACCTAAACGTTTGATTTGTCGTTCTACTTATTCGCGATATTCATCGAAATGATCGCATCTTCCTAAATCATCCACAAAATGAAACAGCTTTCATCACTCTGATTTATTATCAAACGGGTAACACCCATCATACTTAACTTGTCATAATTGACTTTGAAATTATCTGTTTGAAGGCAAATATTCAAATTTTTTAGGCCAACAAATATTTAAACTGACGATTAAAGAAATGTTTGTTCAAGCCATATTACCTCCGGTCAGCCTGTTCGGGCCAATTCTTACATGAAGTGAGTCAGTGATGTTTGTGAGTGACTGGTTACACATTGGTCACCGTCATTTGAGTGTACAACGTCTCCACGGAACTACTCATGTAAAAGTGCACAGTACACCACCTGTTGTTCTTTTAATTTTTACAACATATTTATTTAGTAATGTTCAGTTGCTCGCTAGCTGTACTTATGACCCTACGAAACACATTCAAAATTTTCTATATTTAGCCTACTTAACGAAAGTCTCCTATTCACAAGTAGTTAACTAGTATGTAAGTTAATTTTGTCGTTTGAAATAAACTTTGTTCAGAGACATCTACATAGATGAATACGCCTACTTCTTTTGCTTACAATTTTCACTCTTCGTCCAATCAGGCTGAAAATCTTAAAAATCTATGTTTATATTTTGAAAACGACGCCCACGACACTACATCTACACAAATTTGATCAGTTTCAATGCTTAAATCCAATTGTTTTGAACAAAGAATGAAACGGTTTAATGAGAGTGGATTATTTTGTTGCTATGTATCATTATATAAACAGGAACAGACCATTGCTAAAATAATATGGCGATTTTTATGTAATTCAAATCACTGGTTTGTCTTCAGTTCATTTACCATTTATTGAATATTGAGATATAATGAAGAATGCCAAAGATAATACACAGATTAATAAATACAAAGAAAATCAACGTTACAGCACCGACAAACAGAAGATTGACAAGAAAAATGTTCATTGTGAATATTCAAAAAATTTCGCCAAAACTTTCTCAGAGACAGAAGGTTCAGTCATTCAACCATCAAAGTCACTTGTGAAGAAATTTCAGTCACTGAGTCATATAATCACTCCTAACGATCGGACAACCTCCGACAAAAAGGAACCAAATTATAAAAAATGTGTTCAAATCGGACTAGCCATTGGGTCAGCATTTCTATTGATTGGTATAACAGTAGCATTTGTGACCTACATGGTAATTCGACAAAATTATCAACCTGATGACACAATACCTTTCTGGAAATCCTCAGTCGGTTATTGGTTAGATGTGTTTGCATTCAAAGATTTGTCTGGCGATTTAGTCGGAGACCTCAATGGTAATGATCATTAGTGCCAATTCACTCTAATTCAAATGATTCTGTCACCATAGGTCTCACGTCTGAAGTTGATTACATCTCAACTGTAATCGGTGCTGGATTTGTGATTTTGGGTCCCATTACAAAAGGCTTTTACACTAATTCATACAATATGCTGGGATTGGTTGAAGATTATGAGCGGTTAGATGAGGCTGTCGGCACAATGGAGGATTTTCGTGTCTTTTTAAAAACATTTCATAAGAAGGGCGTTAAAGTTGTCGTGACATTCAACTTCAATGCCATATCCATTAATCATAAGTGGATTGGAGAAAACAAAGTCAAGCTGAAGTCATTCGAAGATCCCTACAACAATAAGGTGAAATCATTGTCTGCCTTCCTTAATTTCCTTATATTTTATTTACATTAAGATATCACGTTATGGAAAAGCAATCGATGTAGATATCGATGGCAAGAAATACTATTCGGTTTTTGGATCACCTAATGTTGATCTAGATTTGACTGATCCCGATACTCAGAAACAGATAATTGTAAGTTTCAGCGAATACTTTTGCAACAATTGTGTTCACTAGAATGTGATCAACATGTGGATGAAAGAAGGAATTGATGGAATTCTTCTGGATAATGCTGCCTTTTTCGTTGAGGAAGAAGAAAATGTGCAAAGAAAAGCAAGTTGATCAAATTTTATTTAAAGATAACTGTTCAATAACTCCGTCTTCTCTTACTCCTACTATTTTCTCCTCTTATCATATGTAGCCGAATTCCATGTGGAACATGAATTGTCAGAATTCTCAAATGTACAGAAACGGAAGTGTGACATTTGTCAAGGCTATTAAACAGGAAATAGACAAGTGGACTAATGAAAGTGGGAAATTTAAGTGAGTTTAATCATGATCCATAATGAGATAGAATTTCGTCAACTAAATTTTATCAGTGACTGACTGTCCGTCACAGGCAACTTAAACATTTCCATTCGCAACACTACAATGCAATAGCATCTTGAAATACATACTATGTTTTGTTGTTTCAACTGATTTGAAGACTTAGAAAGGTGGAGTAAAATTATTGAGAGGCACATGGCAACTTTTATATTGAAAGGTAAGTTTACTAGATTGGCCGCTTGTTCATAGTTTACTGATATACGCGGTCTTCTGAATCAACATAAATTGTTAGATCCAGCAGGATATTGATTTTTTGTGGTCACAAACACAACGGAGGTAACTCAATAAAGGTGTGGCCACTATTGTCAGCTGTTCTGCCATTTTCCAATAGGTGCGAATATTTTCATTCATATAAAAGGGAATTGCCGAACAAATATTTCATAACTGAAACATTGGATAATGAGCAGTGAGCTCACTGTTTTGTGATGTCAACATTGGAACAAATGAGTATCTGTTATAAAAGTAGTTAAAGAATTTGTTATAAACTTCAGATTGAACTTTCATTCAGATTATTCAGATAATCTCAGACGTAAATGTTTTGTGCAAACAATATTTTCTACAGATTGCTGGCTGTAAGCTCTGGTGAAACCGGTTGTGGTGTGTATGATGATCCGGATCCGATGTTGATGTTCAGAAATGTGACCGATATGATAATCAGTCGCGAATGGTTGTTCGATAGAGGTGGACCTTTTAGTTTAATAACTCCACAAAAACAAAACATCGAAAAGTTTTATTCATATCCAACCTCTGATAGGGAGAAACTTGGTTTGACGACATCTACTACTGAAACTCCATCATATTTCGAGATTTTCACGCTTGCACCAACATTATTATTACCAGGTATTTGATAATGTGTGTAACATCGCACTATATTATTTTTTTGTTTCTCAACTCACTTGAAGCCGCTATTGCATAGTAAACCTAGAGTTCAGTATGAAAATTCGTTGAATATAAATGAACCAGTGGATGCGAAATCATAATCATCACACACTTCACAACAGTATTGATTGTTAAGGTTCACGTTTGATGAGGGATTGTTTCAAGAGGCATTATGTCTACCTTGATTGAAGCGAAGTGAAGAACGGTTTATTGTAAAGTCTCCGCTTCAAACGAAATTCGACAAATTTTCGACTGTTCGAAACGATATACATTACAGGATGTCACAATGAATGATTATCGAAATGTAGCTTCCAAATGCCTACGTTTCTAAGCACAAAACATCAGTCTCATATCTTCTAAATGTATGTCTATCGGAAAACATCATCATCGTCATGATGATCAATAATCGTACGTAATAATCGCAACTTGAATTCTGAGCACTGAATATCTCACCATGAAATAATTTGAAAGGTGCTTCACCTCATAAGTCACTCATAAGTCATAGCAAAAATAAGATAAAAAATCGCTTTTGCTTAAGTCAACCGTTTCGCAGTGCATTTTTTACAACTATTTGACTACGTCTGTAGGAATACCAATCATTTATTATGGAACTGAGATTGGCTTCACAACCTTTGATATTCATCGACTTCCAAAGGAGATTTATCCGAAAGGGAAGATTTACAATGATCGCGACGAAACGCTCTATACACTTTCTCATTCGCCAATGCCATGGGATAGAACAGGGAGAAGATTTTCGGCGAATATCAATGAAACCATTTTTATTGAATATTTGAAGGATATAAAATGGTTGTCTGTTGTTGAAGTGGGTTTTAATGGGGTCGTTTTTATACAATTCACTAATCAAAATTTGTTTTTGTGATATACTCTAAATGTTGATCTTTGCAAAGCATTGTCATTCAGAACTGATAGTTGAAAGATTTCATTGAATATTTGCTGACTGCTCAAGCATGAAGAGTGGTATTATAAATTATGTATCGACTCTACCTAACATGCTGTACTTTCAATTAGATAACAAACGGTTGAATTTAATATAGTGCAAAGATATTAGTAATTGTTTGATTTTACTATGTTTTTTGAACCACTTGTACTCTGAAAAATAGAAATAAAGTAATAACCTATTACCCTACATTCAAGCTTTTCAAATTATAACCACAAATAAACACATACAGGTTGTTCATAGTATTTATTGTGAACTTTCTAGTAATTATGGTGACCGATATACACCGTGAAAAAAACTGCAATTATGTGTTACTCATTTTGTATCACAATGTGAAACCAGTACAATAAACAGTATGGAATGAAATTCAAAATTGATAAATCCCGATAGACGTCTCTGTAGTCGATCTGAAATCACATCACAGTACAACATGAAGTGATTGAACAAATAGTTCTCCTTGTTTTAAAATCAGTAGAATGCGACAAACTAACTTCTACACTAGTTTCAACATGTTATCCATCGATTTGAGTGGTAAAAGTCTTAATCTTCGTTCCGTTTCATTGGGTTTTTTTGGGTGTTTTTTCATTGGGTGTACTTCTTCACTTATTCATAAACCAATCCTGTTTTTTAAGTAAAACGTTTCAAAACATTGAAGAACTCACTCATTGAATTGAGCATGTCACGTGACAGAATTTATTTCGTTGCATAGAATTAGTTGAATCATATAAAACGATTTCATCACTAATAAAACTCAAATCACGTTTAATACAACGAATCTCTTTCCTTTGAAGGATCAACTTGCTGAGGGAAACAATCAGTCATTCCTTCATCTAGTAAGGAAATTGGTGGCTTTGCGTCAGAATCCTAGTATAAAATGGGGAACAATGGAGCTGATTGACATTGCTGACGTAAGTGACTTCAATGTTTGCTCAGCAGACGAAATACATTTTTTTATTTAATTTTATCACTCAAGCATTAGGAGTTAGCTTTATTATTCCATGTCGAAAATTGTGCTGTCCCCTATTACCATGGTTATGCATTCAGTTAATATATTTTGTCATCATGTATTCATTAGTTACCGACTGCCTTCGTGCCGTTATTTTAATGTATTCAAATATTCTAGATGGTTATAGAATGAACCAATTCAGAATTATAACATGTGAGCAGCAGCCACATCATGGCCCTGCTATTATATAGATTTATGGATTGTCGTTGTATAAAGATCAATCTCTTTTTTGCAGCTAACCCGTTGATCATCTCGTTAGTTTGATGACATTTGTTCAGTGACATTTTTACTGAATAATGTGACTTAAATATGTTTGCCACTGAGTTTGATCATGAGCTCACCATTACGCTCAAATCAAACACAATTCTTCTCATCAAAATATTGAAGATGCATTCGTTTCACCTTGTCTGTTAGTCTCAAATTTAAGTGAATCTATCAAAAAAATCATGAATAATGATGCCTATATCTCTCTTCTTTTGTTGACGGATGTCTTAATACAAAATTTATCAACTGTTTTTTTTAACTGGAAACGTTTTTTTTTCTATATCACTCATTCAACTGTTTCGATATGTAAATTTCAAGTAGAACGTTGAACCAAAGCAACGATTTAAAACATGCATTTTCTAGTCAAGTTCATATATTTTTTCAATTGATTTAATTTCAGAAATCTCGAGACAGTATTGAAGCATTTGTAAGAAAGGCGAATGGATTTCCTACGTTCATCATTGTAATAATAACTCTTATAGGGAGGAATTATTCCTTGGATTTAACTCCTGTTTGTTCATCAGTTACACCAAGAATAATTTATCCCTCGTTATCTTATTTGCAGGTTGATATTCCAATATTAAATTCAAAAATTAATTTATCAAAACCACAAACAGCCCATCATGTTTTAGTGTTTGAATGTAACTCAACGAATCCTCATTCAATCATTAAACCACAATCAACAAAAGAAACTGATTCATAACTGACGACTGTTTTTTTTATTTTTACGTTGATTAGCATTCTTATATAACTTTCATTTCAAGTTGTTTGCAGTGTGTAACTAATCATTTTTTTTGAAAAAAGCTCTTAAATGCCTAAAAATTATGTATTTTAATGTCAATTTATTTGTAATTACAGATTGACGAAATATTGTTTGTTCGAAGTTTAATCGTTAGTACTTATTGTAGAATCCTTTTTGAATGTTTTGTTTTTTGGAAAATCCCTCCATGTTTACATATTTTTGTTATGACATGACGGACTTTTTCTGTTGACATTTTTGGTATTTTATTTGATTCCAAGTTGAGATTTTATCATTGTATATTGTTATTATTTCTATATTTTGTACTTATATTGAAGTTTTTGTGTTTGCTTCTGATCTGTATATATGTTGTTTAAATTTGATCTTTAATATGGCTACAGCAATATTTGGATTGATACAGTAGCCGCTGGACTTAACGTCACTTATCTATCGTTGTTTCTGATACTCTTCGGAGTAATTGTATCCTGAAAGGTGTATTAATTCCAGGTACTGCTTTGTATTTCCATGTTTTTATTAATAAAGACACTTTCTCCTAGAATTTTTGCTTTATTTGGACCTGAGACTGGGAGAAACGAGTTCAGGAGTGCACCTATTGGAACCCATTGGAACGGCCACCGTAGAAATCTATTTACACTTATCAGTTGTGATATAAAATCATACGGGTTATGCAATTGGTTGATTTACTACAGTGTAACGTCTCAGTTGATCTTATCACATTCACCAGTCTATGTATATTTGGATGAAATAGCTATTTATCAAACAATTACGCGCTTTCGATTCGGTTAATTGCTTCACTAAAAAGAACATGATTGAATGTGTGCATGTTGATATATACATGCTTCTTCCAACAGTGTTGATTTGATTATCATGAGAATAGACTTCAGCTACAGTGGAATTCCCTTAAGCATCTTTATGATTTCTTCTGCGTTTCTGAAGATCAAAACTGAAACCCACTGTTATAAAACCATACAATGAAACAAATCTTCAGGTGGGTCTCACACGAACTGTTGTTGACACTGAAACGTCAATGCGTTTATCCCTTTTATAATGGGAATCGGTTGTTTTAGTACAGGCAAGCTTCTTCGAAATGTAGGCGATCTGAATGTAATTTGTTGAGTCACCTCACATTTAGTGAAAAATATATGAAACTCCGTCATTAAGAGGCTGCATAGGGAAGGACAACAGTACTCAAAATGGAGTAGACAAAGTGACGCTTATAAACAAGGATGGTTTCTCTTGGTTAGTTGTCAACACCAATTCGACTTCATCCTTGATTCATGCAGCAATCGACGTTGAACTTTATGTGAAAGATGTATATAATTATACTCGAATTCAGAAGACGCAATTAGGCCTACCAAATAGTTAACAGCTCGTGCTGTGATAAGCAATTAATCAGCACTCTCCTGAATATTTTATTCCTAGCAATACTTTTTCAGATAAGAGTCAGTTTGTTTTCTGGCAAAGTGGTTGTTATAAAATGGTACCCGGATAACGAACATTTCATACTTTTCGGAGAAAACTGTCCATGTATACCTTTACTATTTTGATGAAAGCTGTGTTGGTACTACAGGTTTAGGATACATGTGATATGAGCATTTACATTTCTGCACAAAATGTATTCATTTTCTTTACGGTGAACAATCGACTCAATTTTCAGGAATTCTAGGCTGTAAAGAGTGCTCAGACATCTAGGCAATCGGTAGCCACATAGCAGTCTCAAATCTTCATCATTGCAGTATATTACATGACTAATTACAAATTTGATTTTCTATCGTTATAGACATAAACAACCGCCAATTTTATGCACTATCTACACTGATATCCACTGAATTTCAAACGTTACTCCTTACCGTTTTTTTATAACAACGTTATTCCAAAATTACATTCGATCAAGAGGAGCAAACAAGGATCACCTATCGATTATATACTGATATGATATGTTTCAGTTTGATAAGATTAAAATCAGTACTTTTATCGTGAATAAAATCTGAGAATGTTTATTTACCTTTTTGATGCACACTACAGTTACCATTATCGTCATTCTTCAATTAAAAACATTGAAGTGAGTTGAAAACTGAGGGGAACTTCATATCCATTTGTTATTCAAATCATTTTGATCTTTGTTCCGCTACTGTAATTATTCGTTATCATTTTTTGAAATATTTGCATTTGAGCGGAATCCTTCAACCTTCTCATTCAGTCATTTCTATTATTAACAGAGATAAATATCCAGGCATTTTACACAGCATATAGTAATATATTATAAGCAATATTCAAAAAGTCGATTAAATGAATTCAGCTTCATACAAATATGCAAGCCAGTGAAAATCATAACTCGCTAGCTTATCGGCAAACGAAATGGTGTTTGAAGAGAGTAGTGAAAGGTTTGAGTACTGCGGTGAATATCAAATAAAAAATTGTGAAAATTTCACATAACTGACGATTTTGAGACTAGAAGAAAAATTTCCAAAAGATTCCACCACTAATCAATTCCGACATTGTTTCATTCCCTCTTTTAATCAACATTATGAAAATAACTTAGTGTTTTGCTAACCATTTAATAACATGTGTAGGTAAGCGTTACACTTATTAGGTGTATGGAAAAATATTTGTCATCGACTGTTCGATCTAAACAGTTGACTGTCGATGATTGTTGTCGTCATTATATTTGACAGTCTGTGTTATGATTTTATGAGTTGGGTTAATGTATATTGCATGTGTTAGTTTCTCTGTTTTTATTAGTTACTTTGAGAACGGATTGCACATTTGCTTAGTTATTTGACTGTAATTTGGAAAGCAAACAAATGCGATTGTTAGAGAACGTAGAAGATCTATACCCTGGAAATACGTATATAGTCACTGTCAGGGAAGTCTTACTCACAGACTTCCAATCGCTCATGCATCGTTTAGGAAATTCGGAAAACCAAAGGCTTTATTCTGACGCATTCACCAAGTTGACTATTTCATAGCGTCCGCCTAGAGAGGTGAACAAAATTCGATTTAAACAAGATGTGAAATCGAGCTCCATGATCCTGATGCAACTAATTTCTAATGAAACAATTACTGAATATCAGCTTTCATGAGGATAAAATTAGTGACACTGCTTTACTGACCTATGTATGAAGATTTCTAACGTCTCATACTGCAGTCAAGGCGTCGTGTTATTATTCTAGCCAACCAACAAATTATTATACTTGCGTGGCGAACAAATACTTAGCTCTCGCTTTGTCATAATATTTTGTGTTTAGATTGATACATAAATAATCTGTAACTAATTCAGTGATTCAAGATTTTTGGTCGATATCTGCACCTATCAAAATATTCATCTGAGATTATTCAGAACTCAGTGACAAGAACTGTGATGTTATTCTGGATGAGAAAGTAAGACAGAGCAATATCCTCAAAGCCATCAATCTGACTCTGAATTTCCCGTGATTCCATGTTACATATATTCACCTGATTTGCCGCATTCCCAACATCTCCATTTTTACAATTATTGTTTGTTATTTCTCGGAACGTTTTTAATTACCCTCTCTCCCTTTGCCGATTTTGGTTAAATTATTGTACCATTGCTGTTTTCCACTTCTTTCAAATCGTAAACAGTGCACATACACTACATGATACACTTAAAGGTTTTAAACGCGTTTCCTTCAGGCTATCGAGCGAGCTCCCTACCTCTAACAGAGGCAATGTCTACCTCCAATCAACCCAGTGATTTCGCGAAACCTTACTCCTTTGTCCTCTGTATATTCACTCTGAGCATCATACCACAATCGACCGAACACATGAACACGTTTACTAATTATACAAACCAAATAAAAATATATAGAAACATATATACACATCACAAATAAACGTTTTATGATTTTTGCTTCTGTCATTAAAAATGTTCAGAAATTCATTCACTGCAGCTAAAATCTTTTTAATTCTGAGATATGCGCTTCCATCTCATATTAATCAGATATCTCAGGGTTCGCAGCTTCTCTCCATGATAGCTTAATTATTGCAAAGACGTTAGAACAGCTACGGGAACACACGACATTGGTACGACAACGTTTTACAATTTTTGCTTCTGTCATTAAAAATGACAAAGAAATTCATTCACTCGAGCTGACACCTTTTGTTCAATACTGAGATAGGTGCTTCCATCTCATATTTGTCTTCTTACATTGACAAACGATTGCTTAAATAATATTTTATTATGATGCGTTTCTTCTATATGTTGTTATTGTAATGCATGATTGCGTTATTTTCTGTTCTTTAAAATTTCTCCAATTGTTTTAGGTAGCAGACAAGTTACTTTCAATTGAATTCGAATAAAAGTCCCAGCAAATGAATCTGCAATAGACATGGTTTTCTGGTTTTTCTCAGAGCTTACCCAAGTTCCTTTCAATTCGGGTTGCATAAAATAGTATGACCTGGTTTTCCGTGATATTTGATTCCACATTCTTTCCATCTGTGAAACTGATCAAATTTCTCCTAGTGTTTATTGATTTTCTTAACTTTCCTCATAATCATTCTACTATTCGGACAATTAACCAATATATATATATATACAAATGAGTTCTGTTATCACTTGGTTTTCATTATTTGTGTAAATCATATCAGAAGATACTTGTTTACAACAACTCAAGAGTTATATGATTTATATACTTTTTCTGCACTGATTTCGAATTGCTTACTTCTATGCGCATGTATGTGTGCATGTTTTTAGAATGAAGGGTGAATTTCCTCGTCATGCCTGTTGAGAAGGTTAGATCACCAGAATTCGCTTGAAAAATATCATTATTTCTGATTTATTTCAAGGACCGATCAGTTGACATTGAGACCCCACTCACCACAAGGAAAATCGCCCGCCATTCCTCATGTGATGTAGCGCACTCTTACGTCAAATAGGAGATTTCAAAAAAAGCTTTTTTGCGCGCACATTGTTGGATTAAACTTTCTCTAATATCTCCAGATAACTTCGGCTTCCGTATGTTTGATTAAGTATCAACGTAGCATATCAAGCTGTTACAACGTTGCCTGATGGTATGAATTGTAAGGTGTGACTCATATATTGTTAATTTGAAGAGAGGAAGAATACGCAGCTGAAGAAAGAAAATAGAGGAAAAATAGTGTTTGAAATCATGAGTCGGGCGAATATGTCTGTTGCGACAATCGGTCTATGAAT